AGAGGAAACTTCAGATTAAGATGCTCCAGAATGGAAATGAGGGGTGGCACCTTAGCACCATAACTCTCTATTCTAAAGTAACTTTACAATTGCATGCAACACAACGCCGCTTGGTTACTTGGGCACTACAATGCCATGCACTGAAATGAGTTTTTATATATTTTTTATCCACTTAACTGACTCTCTTACTCACTTGACGATTTGTCGTGGTAGGAAAGAAAAGGAGGAGAATTGACATAGGAGAGATGAAAGAGAAACTAAGTTTTTTGGCCCCTAATTCATGTCATCTCTTTTATAAAAATAGCTCTAATCATTATATGTGACTTCTAACCTATTACTATTTTCAAAGATTTTACTTTCAACCATTTGGTATGCCTTAAATTGATTTTATTCTATTTTCTCTATATTTAGTGAAATTCTAATGCGTAACTTTTTGTATATTATAGTACTGATTATTCTGGATATTTGTACTAGTTGGTTTTATAATTTTACTGGTCAAAATTATAGTTATTGCATTTTATATGAATTGCACATAATAGTGATTTTGATTTTTTTTTATCGAATTATATTATTAATGCAAGCATTGTGAATGAATATGGGCTAGTGATTAGGTAATAATTATTTGTTATTAATTTATAATATTGTAATAATACTATGTGTGAAGATAAGTAAATGGTGGTGATTTAGTGATGTTGGCTAGAGATTGATTTATATACATACAGGATTGTGGACTGACGGACTTTAATTTAAATATTGTGATTTGGTGTTATTCCTTACTGATTCATGTTATTTATTAATTGAGAGTTGTAAGGAGTTAATTATTATGCTGATGGGCAAGAGTGACAACTTTGTTATTGAGCCAACAATTACTGATTTCATGTTTACAAGAAAAATACTATGAGAGCCAAAACATGCTACTTGTTTAGTATAATTGCTTGGATATGATTTTATGTATTATTTCATTGCTACTGGTATACTATAAATGATTTATTATAATGTTACTATTGATCTATTATTTTTATATTAATTTATTATTATTGAGCACGTGATTATTATGAAAAGTGATATAAGCTAATGATTGACATTGTTACTAATATAACTGAATATCATGTTTACACTCCTATACGATTTATGAATAATACTACACTATATTGTTATATTGTATGACTTCTAACTATTGTATATAACTTTTAGAATATTGAATACATATGTATATTGATATTTTTATCAGTAGATTTGTTTCCATTTATATTTTATTATTAAAAGAAATTAGATAGCTCTAATTGCTATTATTAAAAGTTAAAAGAAATAATTATTTTCAATTAGATTCTAGGGCAAGGCATTTATCCTCCCATAACGACGATTTCTAAAAAATCTTGGTTATTCTAATAGATGATTGATATATCAATAATTTAATTATAAGCATCAATTAAGCAAGTATTTTAATATGTGGAAAAACATATGCTCAATGGTTGAACAAATAAGGAGTGTTAATTCAAATTTACTCCATCTATTAATCATGTTGAGTACTTCACCTTTTGTTATATCTAGGGAAGAGTCACTAGATGCTTGATTGGATGATAACCTTTTGATATTCATTCCATTTGACAATCCTTTACATCAAACAAATCCTATTTAAGAGGCAACATACAAAAATCTTATCTAAGACACTAATTGCTCAAGCCCTTCACTCTTTATCCTTAGAAACTCTAAGAACCAAGTTCTCATCTTTGATGGTACTTAAAATATATATAAATCTATATTAAAAAGGAGAAAAAATTAACAATAAAGAAGACCTGAGTACATAATAAGACTTAGAATATTATAGAGAGGCATATGCTAGTAAATTCACTTTCCAACATCAAGAATGTCAAAAAAAAAAAAATCAGTCATTTAATGCCTTGATAAACTAAAAATAACTCAAGATTTTACAAGGAAAAATTATTTTATTATAATTTTTTTATGAAAGATATAAACATCAAGTTGAGTATCTATAAAAGCTTTTAGCCAATTTTGACAAATAGATAAATTGCAAGAAATTTGTGATGTTTGCAATCAACAATTGAGATGTTTTATAGTCATATTTTTTAAATTTTTTGCCCTAATAAATAATAGCAATTTGACTTGAGAAAATACATGAAGATGGATGTTGATTTTATCTACACCTATAAAAAAATTGCAGATTTTAGATTTTTTCTGATAAAGGCAAAAACTCTACAAATTTGACAATAGAACATTCAAAAAATAGAGAAAAAAATCTCCAAAAACTTAAAAAAAAAAAGTAGAATTTTGTGATACAAATTTTTGGTACAAAAATACACACCAGAGCATCCAACAAAAAATAAAAAAATAAAAAACTAAAAAAGAAGATAAAAAGCAAAAATAAGTATTAAAATTGCTCAAAATAAAAAACAAGAAGAAATCAAATAAATTGTTGATATTTTTGGGGAGAACCTCGTTGTTGTCATCACCATACCATCATACTGAGAAACAATCGTTACATCAATCTCCATTGAAATTTTTTAAGCCATTAAATTTTTTATTTAATATTTTTTCTCTAATTAAATGTAAATTAAAAAAAAAAAGCTTAGATTATGATCAGAGAAACTTTATTTAGCTTATGATCCCGAGAGGAGATCTATATTAATGTTTAGAGAATGGTCACAAATTATTAAAAACTCACTTTATTTTTGAATGACATAGATTTTGATGTCTAAAAATAATGACAAATGATAAATCAATAGACAATTCATCTAAACAAACACAAACCTCCAAACTTTTGATTTCAAAAATATTTAGTCAAAACAAATGTTTCAATCAAACGAACTTAAAGACACCAAAATCTTTTGATCCGAGGCCAATATAGCCGAAATCAATCACTATATTTAAAATTTTGATATTATTTTAAGAACCAAATGATTATGAATCTTATGTACGTAGTTATAATTAAAATGAGTATCTCAATGAAATGAATTTTACAAGTTCATGAACTGTCACTTTTAATATAACTAAGGGATGTAAAAACCTCATAAATATTCCATGATCAAGCCAATAAATGGTAAAGTTTGACTTTTGAACCTTCTGTACAAGTCAACACATATGAGGTGAAGTTGACATTTATGATAAAATTTTACAGTGAAAATATAATATGTATGATCATAATTACTATTAATACATAAAATCAAATTTTATATTATTTTATAAAATTCAAAATTGATTTCCTTGCATATTGTTTTCTTTTCCGTTTAAGTTATTATAATTTAAAATTGTTATTTATCCACTAAGTTATTTATATAACTCACTTCATAAGTTAATAAATACTTTTAGGAACATCACGAAGTGATGAATAATGTCAATATTTTATGTGGGATAGCTTTTAGTCACTACTTTGATATTTCTATTAAATTTTTATACTAAAAAATAGCTATATAAAACAATAATAAAATTATCACAAACAAAACTTAAGTGCATAATAGTCACGAAGTTAACTAATACATTGCTGGATTGTAGGGGTGTCAATTCGGGTCAACCCGCTGGGTTCAGGTCGAACCCAACCCGACCCCTATATAAACGGGTCAACTCGAACGCGCATGGGTTCGGCGACGGCACGCGGGTTCAGCGAAAGCGCGGCAGCGGTGGAACGCGAGTTCGACACGCGCGGCACAAGGGGCAGCACGGGGCAGGCGGGCAGCGGGCGGGGGCAGCGGGAAATTCAAATTTTTTAAAAATAAACGGGTTTTTGGGTTAACCCGGCAACCCACCGGGTCAACCCGACCCGACCCGTTTTATCAAACGGGTTGAATCTGCGAACCTAGACCCGACCCGTTTATCAAACGGGTCGGATCCAACTCGGATTTTTCTGGTCGGGTTGTCGTGTCGTGTCAAATATTGACACCCCTACTGGATTGTTTCATTTTGTCTGTGTTGTTCTATCCTGTTGTGTTTTGCGGCACGATTGAAAGTTGCTTTACAATCTTTGTTCCCATTTAGCTTTGTGAGTTTTTTTTCTTTATTGTTCTTACAAAACTATTGTAATCTTATTGTAACCTTTCATTTGATATAAAATTGGGCATAATTACCTCAAATTTTTCCAAAAAAAAAAAAAAAACAGAATAATAATAAATACATTACAATTTTGATAGAAATATACTTTACTTTTAGATAAACTTTAGAATGTGCACACAATTTCAACGAGGAGAATGAGGAATTGGTCTAAATTGTGAAGAAGACAGCATTAGGAAATATTCAAATGTAAAAGCGAACAAATTTGAACAGAATTTTTCTTTTTTTTAAGCATATTTGCTTACAATTAACGATTAGCTTCATAAAATATTTGTTTAATAATTATTTTGTTACTTATTTAAGGATTTTATTATTATTACTTTTTTATATCAAGTTGAACATAACTTCTTACAAAATGATGTATATCTAATAGAGATAAATCTGAAAATTTTTATGTTTAGTAGAAAACTTTAGAAATTAGAAACTATATTTTAAACCACTCAGATGTTAAAACTATTTTTTAATAGTTTCAAAGAATTTGAGAAACCGCTCGGATATTAAAACCATTTTTTACAATCAGAATAACTAAGTTATTTTCTTCACAATATCTTCACAACTAACTTTATAAAACGCACTAATCATCCCAAACAGACCCTTAGAGAGATCACGGAAGACTGTTTTGAGCCATATAGAAACTTGCAAATGCAAGGATAATTGTGCACAAATTAACAACCACTAAATGCAAGGGATATTACGTTGAAGAAACTAAGGGCCTGTTTAAGACGGCTACAACTTTTTATAAAAGTGATTGAAAAGCTACTATGAAAAAAAAAACAGCTTTTCAAAACTATTGTAAAAAGCAATTTTCTAATAAAAACATTTATCAAAAACAGTAAAAAAATAGTGACCAGGCAAAAATTGTGATTACAATCTGCAAAACAAAGCAGTAAGAAAGCTATCTCAAACGAAGCCTAAAACAAAACAAAAAAACTCCAAGGTTGAATAAGCATCTGCAACTTGTCTGAAACTTTTATCTTGTTTCTCACTCAGTTTCACATTTCTTACATACAAAAAACAGCCCAACAAAGATTTAAATCATTTCAAATGAATCGTTGACATTTTGATTTGAAAAAAAAAAAAAAAAAAAAACAAACAATCATCCAATAATTACAGTGCAATGCAGCCTTGCAGAAGAACAGACTCATTGAATTTAGCAAACTCAATAGCAAATGTTGATGCTGATAAAGATTGGAAAAAAATAGATCATTTATGGTGGTATAGAAAAACCACTACAGCAAGGCTAGAGACATCCTGAGACTTTCCTTTCCAGCCACACACTACATATTAAGAACAAACGAATAAAAATAAAAAGTAGGTACCTTTACTATAGTGTCAGCTTTTATTAGTATTTGGCCTTCTGCTTATAAGAAATAATAGACACCTTGAAGAGATAATTGGATTTATGAAGAACAGAGAGAAGAGTGATATGGATCCTTCAAGGTTCCTGCAACAATAGGGTGAAAGACAAGAAAGAAAATTTATGAATGATTGGTTAATGAGAGCACAAAAGTGTACTGAAAACGAGGTAAAATTGAAGTAATGAAAGATGGTATGTGCGTGTTTGATGAGGGTTACATCAAATAACAATCTGTGATTGTTTATCTTCTGGGGCAACAAGCTGCCAGATTGACCTGTAGGTTGGGATATCAGCTGCTTTGACGCCGAGTGAAGCAAGATTGCGACCATACTCCTAATGAATACCATGGGCATTAGGAAAAATTGCATTTTCAGCAGATTATTTCATAGTCTAGAAGAGCATGTAAGAAAACATTAAAAATAAATACAATAATTTTATTCCAATAAGAACTCAGTAAATTTCTGTACACTAACAACAACAACAATAACAAGCTTTTATACTACTACGTGGGGTCGGCTAAATGAATCATTTTTCTCCTTTGTGTCATGTTAAGAGTCAAATTCTCATTTAAATCTAATAAAGAATTAAGGTCATTTCTAATATTTTTTAACACGTTCTTAATAGAAGAGTAAATCCACTCATCCACCTGAGCATACTCATCTCAGCAACACTTAACTTAATATTATGTTTCACTTTTAATGGCCAACATTTGCGCAGATATCTCCACCATCTTATAAAAATTTCCATTAAGTTTGAGTGGTGCTTTTCTATCACACAACAAACCCGAAATATTCCTCCACTTCAACCATCCAACTTGAATTCTACTAATAATATCCGTATCTATTTCACCATCACTCTGAACAATACATCCAAGATATTTAAAACGAGTACACTTATTAATGACTTGACCGCTCAAAGTCACAAAACCCCCCACTAGATCTATTACTACTAAAATTACAATCAATGTATTTGGTTTTAGATCTACTCAAACAAAAAACTTTAGACTCTAAGTTGACCTCCATAATTCAAGTTTAACTTCAACTCCCTCTCTAGTCTTATCAATAAGAAGAATATTATCAACAAAAAAACATACACTAGGGTACATCATCTTGCAGATATCTAGTAAGAAAATTCATGACTAAAGCAAAAAAATATAATGGCTTAAGGCTGATCCTTGATGTAATCCAACTGAAATAGGAAAATATTTGGTCAAACTATCTTGCGTTTGAACAAGTAACAGCTCCTGCATACACATCCCTAATGACTTCAATATAAGCATTATTAACCCCTTTCTTTTCTAGAACTCTCCATAGCACTTCTCTTGAAACTTTATCATACGCTTTCTCTAAATCAATAAATATCATATGTAGATCCTCCTTATTCTCTCTAAAATTCTCCATCAAACCTCTCAATACATGCATAGCTTCCATAGTAGACCTACCCGGCGTGAATCCAAATTGATTTTGAGAAACATAAATACCACATCATAAACCATGCTCCATAACTCTCTCACAAAGTTTTAAAGTGCAACAACAACATCAAGCTTTTGTCTCACTACGTGGGGTCAACTACATGAATATTTTTTCTCCATTATATCCTGTTAAAAGTCAAATTCTCATTTAAATATAATAAAGAAAGATCATTTCTAATATTTTCTAACCAAGCCTTTTTAGGTCTATCTCTACGTTTCTTAACATAAGTCAAATCTAATATCTCAACTTTACTAACTACGTCATCAGAAGGCGTCAGTTTTACTACTAAAATTACACTCCATATATTCAGTTTTAGATCTACTAAAGTAAAAACCTTTAGACTCTAAGGTTGACCTCCATAATTCAAGTTTACCTTCAACTCCCTATCTAGTATTATCAACAAGAAGAATATCATCAGCAAAAAGCATACAACAAGGTACATCCTCTTGCAAATGTCTAGTGAGAACATCCATGACTAAAGCAAAAAGATAGGGGCTTAAGACTGATCCTTGATGTAATCCAACCGAAATAGGGAAATACTTGGTGAAACCACCTTGTGTTTGAACACAAGTAATAGCTCCTGCATACATATCTTTAATGATTTGAATATAATCGTCATTAATTCCTTTCTTTTCAAGAACTCTCCATAACACTTCTCTTGGAACTTTATCATATGCATTCTCTAAATCAATAAATATCATATGTAGATCCTCCTTATTCTGATGTGAAACGTGATGCATGGAAACAAGAACTGCTTGGGGATTTATATATAAGATTTTAAAGCTTTGCTAGTTATAGAATTAATGCTTACCCAAGTTAGATTTTCAGAATTATCAAGTTGAAATTAATAAGGCATGCGGTTATAACTAGATTAACGGGACAATATCAAATTGATAACATAGAATTAGAGAGTAATGCTATGGAGAGAAACAATAATCCACAATTAACAAATAGAACTTTTCACCTTGGGTCTCTCACTCACTCTCTTATTGGTGGCACTTTTAATGGAGGAAGATTGAGAACAACCGAGCGATGCCACTAGGAGACAAATGGCGCACAAAAGCGTAGTCCGTTGGATCGGTAGCCGGTGGCGGGTAGTCCATGGGATGACTAGTGAGCATCCAACGTCTTATCGAAACTTCCTTGACGGCTATGGTGGGGGCTAAGAGGCAAATGCAGGAAACCTGAAATAAAATTCAAATTTTAGTGGTTTAGGAGAGGGATTTAATTTGAATTTCAAATTAATCCAAGGAGGGAGAGAGGCGGCGGCAATGGGGAGAAGATTTGGGCTGAATTTGTGGAGCTATTAAGGTGATTAGGAGAGAGAGGGGGGCCATTAAGGGGGAGGAATTGATTTCAAATTTCAGATTTTGAAATTTGAAATTAAAATCATGGAAAACTGAAATTAAACCTGAGGGAGAGGGGTATTAAAGAGGTGTTTAAGTAGTGATGAGGTGGCAAGTAGAGAGAGAAACAATAGGGGAAGGTGGCCGGCCATATGGGAGAGAGATAGAGGTTTGGAATTAAATAGATGGGGACCACAATTAATTGATTAAAATCTGAAATTTAAAGTTCAGATTTTAATTATATCATGTAACTCCCTAATTTAAAGAAAATTGGGAGGGAATTTGAATTTCAAACAATTGTAACTCCTCTTAATTAATTCCCTAATTTAAGGGACTCAATTAGGAAGGTCATTAAGTGAGGGAAATTCAAATTGCAAGGAGGGCTGGCAGCAAGGGCTCAAGGTGGCCGGCGGCAAGGGGAGCTGCGGGCGGCTGGCTGGCCGGCGGGAAGGGAGTTGCCGGCCGATGGTTTGGGCTATGCAGCCCGGCGAGTTGAGGGGATGCAGGCCGACAGCCTGGGCTGTCCAGGAGGGCCCGCGGTAGCGAGCAAGGGAGGAAAAAAAATCTTAGGGAGAATTTAGAGGGATCCAAGGAGCAATAATCCAATTTTCCACAAGTGCTTCAACCGAATCTCCGTGACGACGAATCGCTCAAGAGAAAGAAAGGAAAAACTATTAGAACAAGAAAACCTAGAACTCACAAAGAGATCTATCTTCTCCTACGAACTCACTAAGAGATCGTGGAGGTTTGCACTCACAAAGAGAACATAAGTGGTAAATTTTCATTCATAAAAAACTAACTATTATATAAGAAAAGGGCCATATATAGGCCTCCAAATGACAAAGAAAACAAAAGACTAAAATGCCCCTTGGGCTACAATAGCGACCAAATACCCATAAGGGCAAAAGCAAAAAAAACTGAAAATAAAATAAACTACTATAAAATGACTCAAAATAAAACTCATGATCGTGGTCGTCGATCTCCGGCGTCTCCTGATGGTACTCGTGTCGAAAATGCTGACGATGTCCTCATCATATTCTCTCTATATTTTCTCCATCAAACCTCTCAATAAATGTATAGCTTCCATAGTAGACCTACCCGGCATGAATCTAAATTGATTTTGAAAAACATTAGTATCACACCGCAACCTACGCTCAATAACTCGCTCCCATATTTTTAAAGTATGACACATTAACTTATCCCAATATTTTAAAGTATGTCACATCAATTTAATTCCTCTATAATTCGCACAATCTTGTGCATCACCTTTATTCTTAAAAATAAGAATCAATGCAGACACTCTCTACTCATCTGACATCTTCTTAATCTTCAAAATAATATTAAAAAGTTTAATAAGCCAAGAAATTTATTCATTTCCAAAGCATTTCTACACCTCTATTGGAATATCATCATGTTCAATAGTTTTTCCACACTTCTTTTTCTTCAAAGCCTCTCTAACTTTAGTTTTACTAATACGCCGATAACAAAAAAAAAATCTTTATTTTCATTCTAAGTGCTAAGGTCATTAAAATTAAGTGTATTCTCACAATATTCATTGAAAAGCTTAGCAAAATATCTCATCCATCTTTGTTGAATATCCTTTTCTAAAAAAAAATAATTTTTGATCTTCATCCTTAATGCACTTCACTTGAACTAAATCCTTACTATTCCTATATCTTTGTTTGGTTAACTTATACATATACCTTTCGCTCTCTTTATAATATAATCTATTATATAAATCATTAAAAGTTAAAATTTTTGCACTGCATACTGCTTTCTTAAACATCTTAAGAGCCTCTTTATATTTATCTAAATTTTCAGAACTTTTACATCTAAACTAATTATTATAACAAAACGTTTTATTTTTGATATTTTCTTGCACATTTTGATTTCACCACTAACTATTTTTATTATTATGAGATTTTTCTTTTGAAACTCCAAGCACAACTTTTATAATACTCTTAATATTACAAATTATTTTTTCTCATATAACATTCGCTTCCGCATGCACAGACAAAATCTTAAAATCTCGAATTTTACTCTTAAAAATATTTTTGTTAGTGTTTTTTAAATGCCCCCATCTGATCTTAGAACAATGTTTTACTATATTTGTCATATTATGCCCCTTATCTTAAAGTTCAAAACTAATAAACAATGTTGGATATATAAATTTTCACTCGAAATAATTTTACCATCTTTGAAATCTAAATGTTATATTTTTCTTATAAGAAAATAATCAATCAGAGTTTTACTAAATCCATTCTTATAAGTGATGAGATGCTCATTTATTTTCTTAAATAAGATATTAGTAATTATAAAATCATAAGCTAGAGCAAAATCTAATATAGGTTTCGTTTGGGACGGCTGCAGCTATCGGTAAAGCAGGTTGTGAAGTTGTTGTTCAGAAAGTTACTTTATAAAGTTGTTGTACATAAATTAATAAATTTTGTTTGGATAGTATAACTATCGAGCTGCTGTGCTGCTGTTATATAACAACAAATTACCTTGATATCCTTCCATATATTGGCATGAATATTAAATATAAATGAACTCTTAATTTTTTTAAAAACTAAATATTTTATGAATTTTAAATTTAAATGAATTCTTAATTTTTTAAAACAATGTAATATCATATTTTAAAATAAACTAAGAAAATATATGATAGATATGTATGATAATTACTATTTATAAAGGACATTTTTTTATCATTTAAATTAAAGGCAAGGAAAAAACGAATTACGAGAAGTACTATTGAGAGCTGCAGGCAACTGAAGAACTCTTGAGAGGTATTGTATTCAACAAATTGCAGACGTATATGTGAGAAGCTCAGCCGATATATAGAAGGCCTAACTGCTCAAGATGAAGGGTAGGACGTCTCTCCTCACTTTAGCTCTCGCCCGCGTCTCTCTCCTTCTAGTCTTCTTTCCCTTCCTCACTTCACATTTTCACACGCGAGAGAACTTCACCTAGGAATCTCCACTCTCAGATGAATTTCTAAATTTTGATCCTCTCAATTTTGAGCGGATTTGGGTGATTAATCTCTACAAAGAAGCAGGATAGAGGAATCTCCTACGTAAAGTAGATCATTCAAAGTCCGAGAACTAACGCATCATCGTCGTTGTCGTCGCCGACGGTGGAGATAACGCCGGCGTTGGTTCTGTCTAACTTAGGGAAGAGGGGAAACAAGAAGTACGTGTGGCAAATGGGGCAGCACAACGATACAAAGCTGCATCTGGCGATAAGCGTGGTGATCTGGTGGCAATGCATAAGATCATGAGCGAGATCGATTCGCAAATGAAAGGAGAGGCGGGAGGGGGAGGAGTTCGAAGCCGAGGTGGCGGAATATCTTGAAAAGATGAAGGATAATTTCGACATTTTAGCATTTCATAACCACGGAAAGCAGCGAACCGCGCCAGATATTTTGGGTCGCGAAAAGCAGGCTACAGACATGAAAATTTCTCTACCGCCGACGAAACGCATCATCCCAAACAGAAGGAGGCGCGCTTCTCAAACTGTGAAGCAGTGGAGACGGTGTCCCAAACGCACCCATAGTCTTATAACCTTACCACCTTCATTAGTCGCTCCAAACCCATAGCCATAATGAATGCTTTTAAAATCCTCAACCTCTCTACAAACATGTCAATTTAAATCTCTTGCAATAAAAACTCTTTCTGAATTAATTCTTCTTAGTCATTTCAAAATTTTAATTTTAAACACATATTCAAATTTACTTGAGGAGCATAGCATCAACAATAATTTTCAAACTTATAATTTTGTCTCCAATTCTATCAATTTTTATACATTATACTTCAAACTCTTATTACACATACACCATTTCTAGTACGACTTCTACCAGAATACCAAAATTTAAATTCTAAACCATCAATCTTTTTAGCCTTCTCTCCAACCTATTTAATTTCCTAAATGCATAAAATATTTATTTTCCTATGAATTATAATATCAATTAAGTCCATTAATACATTCAGTACACTAACAAAACTAAAAAAATCATAAATAGACCGTGTAAAGGTCATCAGAAAGTTGCCTCAGGTCTAGTTAAGAGAAATTAAGCATTCATTAAACAACTGATATCCAAGAAAATAATGGGGATCTAAATGTCTATACAAGAAAAAAAATAGGCATGTAGGCTATTTATTTTCGAAACAAGGATTTAGTGAAAAAAAAAATAATTATCAATGAGTATTTCTTATAAACAGTAAACTGCTGGAATGTTGGACAATAAAATAATGGCTTGAAACTTTCACGAGTAAAGATCTAATCTACTCATTTTTTAAATAAATTCGCAGTAATATTAAAATATATAACTCAAATAAATGACTAATCTCAACTATATGTCTATCTCAGGGAATTCCACTGAAGGAGATATATTTTTCAGCTCTTGCGGAACGCATAAATTACAGAGAGAAACTAAAAACGCAGGTTTACATGCAACCTACAATTCTCTATTTGATAATTCGATCCATTACTTAATATTGTGATCTTCATCCAGTGTTTCTCATTACATTAGTAACACTGCGTAGCAGTAATAAAGCGCCTCATCCAGGTCCAGAATTGCGTAAGCCTCGAGGCGTTTTTTGGTGAAATTGCGCAAAGGCGCGCCTTGAGGCGTGCCTCTAATTGCGCAATTTTAAACCATGCAACAAACTAACCAGTAATAAACTCAAAGTTTTTTTAGAAGCTGTCAATAAGTTTGCTGGTTATCTTGAGCTTGAATAATTACAGGTTTGACTTTGAGAACATATGGCATTAAGAAAAAGCAGGCATGCCCATTGGTTCCATAAGCAAGAAGGTAAAGATGATCAAATTGCATCTCTTAAGGAGCCAAAAATGATTTTCAACTACAACAACAATAAAATTCGAGAATTAAGGCCAACAGGAAAAACTGAACCCTGGATGTACAATGATGCTTCCCCTGATCAGAGATTTAAATTTCCAGCACCAAATATGAAAGATCGCACTATGTGCATGAATTGCCACCGAGTAAAATAACTATAAAAGGGCTTAAGAAATGTAGACCAAGATTATAGATTTATTGTTTTCTCAAGCTTATAGTTGGGAACTCAGTATAAATTAAGTACCATAGTAAAGGCCAAAATCAACAAACACTATCAATACCTGAATATCTAGAAACAACTGCATGCAGATTTTCTCTGTGTTTGATATGTTGTTGTCCAAGGCATCCGAACTCGCTCCCACTCGCCTTTGCGCACCTTGGCGTAATCTCAGTAGTGAAGACTCTGTCTTCCTCGCCTGTCACAAATATTTCAGTATATGCAGATAAGATGATATTTCTTAGATATTTATGGGATCATAGCCCTGCTAGCTCACCAAATTGACAACATCTGCTGCCATTTCATAATATCGGCCTGTAATCCGATCTGCAGTACTGTAGAGCAGCTCATTTAACAGTTCCTTATTTAAATATACAACACTATCACCATCAAGAAAAACCTGGATAACCAAAAAAAGAGTCAAAGAATTGAAAAGGGATCCACATTTGATATCAAAGAATAACATACACAAACCACCGTGAAGTAGGCTCATCTTGACCATCACAATCATAACTATCATCATCAACATAATCATTAAGTCATTGGCATTCATGATAATTATCATTTTATTCATGTTTCATTTTAGGTTATATTTATGCGCCATTGCATTGAAAAAAAGTGCATGTTTTAGATATCTCGGGTCTATCGTTCAAAGCGATGGTGAAGTAGATGGGGATATTATTAGTAGAATTCAAATGAGATGACTAAAGTGGAAAAATGCATTGGAGTTGTTGTGTGATACAAAGGTATCCCTAAAATTATGGAAAAAAATTTATGAGATAGTGGTGAGACCTGCAATTTTTTATAGCATAGAATGTTGGCCATTAAAAAATAGGCATAAAATCAAGTTAAGTGTTGCAAAGATAAGGATGCTCAAGTGGATGAGTGGCTTTTAAACATAGAGACAAAATGCGAAAAAAAATTATATATATGAAAGATTGGAGTTGTTGTAGTGGCAGATAAGTTAAGAGAGAGTAACCTTTGTGGGCTCCAAAAATTCGAGCTTTTTGGGCCCTGGCCTCTCCGAGTTATATTCAAGGATAGTTTTAATGAATTATGTTCCAGGGAAAATTTTCAGAAGGCATATTAGAAAGAGATAAGACGCTAACAAGAGATTTCACCCTTTTAGTGAGGACTTTAAGATCTGAGTTCTAGCTTCCAATAGGCGCAAACCCCTATAGTTAATTACCCCTCTCGATAACGAGAGAGCACTTTCGACTAAGAGTAGTCGTTAATCAGATACTTAATATTCAGCATATTTAGATGTTAAATTTAATATTTAAAGTTAAAAAAAATTCACCACCTCACACTTAAAGTGGATGGTGGGGGAATGATGATAGAACCAATCAAGATCTCATGGTTCACTTAGTCAGAGGAGGTATTCGACCCAACCTAACCGAAGGATCCTTTTTGGCAGTCATAAGTTGCTTCATACAAGGTTACCTATAGACTTGAGGTGAATGTTTGTATAAGGGACGAATTCAAGTCAACCTAGCTAAAAGAGGGCTTTGTGTCCTATCGATTATACCACATAATTCATTACTCAATGATAACTAGTCATTGGGGAACATACGGGCTTTTAGCCATGATCGTAAGATAGTGGAGTCTTTTGACCAAACCATTTAGTCAAAGGGGCCGGATCATAATTGTGAACCACATGGAGCCTTCCTGACTAAGTCACGAGTTCTTTGTAGAGTCGTCTGATCAAACCATTGATTAGAGCACCAATCATAATAATGCCACGTAAAGTCGTCTGGTCAAGCTACGGGTTTTGTGAAACCATCTAGCCAAACCATGTAGACTGTTAATTTTGATTGCTTTTGCTTGATTCGTTTACGAGAGATCTCCGCTTAGATAAATTCAATGTTCTTATCACATCAGCACATTCCATTTGACTATTGGAAGTCATTCAGATAGTTTTGTGTAGCGTCATGCCCGCCGACAATCACCTTTATTGCTTGAACGAGCTGATTTGTGTGTAAGGGTCCTCCTTGATAAATTTGATCCCCTGTACATATTGATGCAGTCTATGTTGAAAGTGGACAATATTTGATTAGTTTTTTGCACAACCGAGGCGCTTCGACATTCATGCTAAGCGACATATCCACGAACGGTCATCCTTCTCCTTGCTTGCCAGATTGGAATGTATATGGAGGTCAACAATCTTAGATGGTTTGGTTACCTAAAACGCCAGTCTTCCAATGACCAAGAGTAGATGTATTAGCTCTAGTCTATATTAAAAAAGGTAATGGTAGATCTAAAAAAGACTTGGTTAGAAAGCGTTAAGAATGACTATTTTTATTAAATTTAAATGAGAAATTAACTCTTAATAGGATGCAATGAAGAAAAAAATACATTGAGCCCACCCCACAATGGGATAAAGGCTTGTTATTTTTGTCATTGTTATTGTTGTCATATGAATTTATTAGTAATTAGTAAATTTGATGACAGTGCCTATATGCAAATCAAAAGGACATAATTATTTTTATTATTGATTAAAAAAAGCATGCTTTGCATCCTCCCTTCTTAAGGCCATCCCTCTCATATGACCTCTCACTCTCTGCTCTCTAGGCTTGTCTATCTCTATCTCTACACCTCTTACTCAAACTTTACTCCAAGGTCATCAAGGGCTTGATTACACTGCAACAACTCCAATTGTTCTCAGAACCAAAAGATCATTTGCGATCATGCACCTAAGTCCTAAGAATTGTTTCTCACATTCAGCTTTCTGCTATAATTGGTATCCACTGTGGATCTAAGACATCCAAGCTAATAATATACCCATCAAATTTAAAACCTAATCATGCATAACCATGTGAAACCTTAGCAAATCCTAATCTTATGCCCACTCCAATTCCTTCTAAAATTACTACATAAAATGCTTTATCCAAAACTCAAGTAGTTACTAGGCTAATCCACCAATTCCATCTTCTCACCTAAACCTTATCTTTCCATATTAAACTTGCGAACTAACCCTAAATCTATCAGATAACCAATCTGTATCCTTATAGCACTTAAAATTAGTACACTTCACAAACTTCAGAGAAGATTATGTTTTAAAATAAACTTCACTTTGTGCAAAATCCATAGGAAACAAGAAAAAAAAATTTAAAATACTTGCCTCTGCCATATCTGCGCAAATCTATCCCATACCCGCTACAGCTACAGCACCTGCTCTCTGCAATGGCGCCAAAGGAACATTATATCACGCGTGCTCACTCTTGTCGTTAAATGCCGACTCCAAAGCCTCCAGCCCTCTTCTTCTTCTATTCCCACATACCCACCCGCAAGCCGTTCGACCCCTGCCTTCCTCTTCTTCCTCCAGGCCATCGCCTCTTCACCTTGCATCTGCCGATCAAAGCCTCAGAGCCTTCAACCCACTCACGATCAGCACTCATCCGACTCTCTACAGTGCCGCAATCCTCCATTCTCTCTTCCTCTAGCTGACTCCAAGCCGAAGCCTCCCTCAACCGAGCCCTCTGACCTCCGAACTCCACTAGCAACCGCAAGCTTCTTCCCAACCTCCAAGCGTCGGACCTCACAACCTCAAACCCTGACCTCCTCCTTCTAGCTGCAAGACCCACCGCAATAAGCCATCCACCTTAATAGAATCCAACTCTATCTTCCTCACAGCAAACCCAACCTCTACTCAATCTCCCCAACTCCTGCTTCAGAATCCAAACAATGCCCTAGCAGAACCTCACGAGCATAGTCTCGATCTCCCTATCCATCGCCCCCTATGCTAGCATCTGACCTCCTACTGTATAGCCGTAAGCTAAACCAAAATATAGGTATATATTTCACTATTTTTTTCTTTTTAGTTATTAAATTTTAATAAATTTATCAATTATAATATATATATAAGTGTGTGTGTGTGTATGAGGAAAGCCAAAAAAAAGAGAAGACTAAAAAAGAGTAGGAAGTAAAATAAAATTAAAAAAAAAAATAGAAATGAAAAAAAATGAAAAAAGAGAAACATTCAAAAAAAGAGAAAAAAATAAGAAATGAGAAATTTCAAAAACAAGGAAAAAAGGAGAAAATTAAAAAAAATAAAATAGCGTGGCGGGGACACTTCTAAGTACCTGTACACGCTCTTGTAGCGTGGCGGGGAAAGCCGATTGCGAGTTTTTCAAACAAGTACCTAAAGAACCATACACGCTCTAATAGCGTGGTGGAGATTAAAGATATATAGCCGTGGAGTCTTCCGACACCTACCATACACACTCTCATAAGATGGTGGGATGGCTCAATCTCCCAAAATTTCTCCTAAACAGGGGAGATGTTGAGAGGCTGTCGAAATTCACTATGATAGATGACTTGATTGGATAATTTAATTGGACTTAATTTGAACCTAAATGAACCGCAAAAAACTTGGACAATTAAAAAATGACTAAATAATAGAACTTAAACTTGTAAAGAGTTTGAATTCGAACCTGAACTTAGACAATTACAGAGGACTTGGATTGGAACTAATTTGAACATTAAGCAAAATGAACTCAAACTGAACATTGACTTTGATTCAAACCACAACAAATTAAATTTGAATGAATTACAAGGAATAGAACTTATATATTTGCATGCTTGCATATGCATTTACATGTTTGTATGTGTACTTATATATTTGCATATGCATTTGCAAGTTGTTAAGCATGCATGTAAAATAAACTTCATTTGCATAATGCACAATGCACTAGCACATTTTTCTTAATGCGCTTGTGTAACACACCTGCATGAATCTCGATGCACTCGCATAATAGCATGATCATTGACGTATGTACAAAGTGTCTTGCATGGTCAATAGTATGTGTGCATGCTACTTAATGTGCTCGCATGATTGGCAGTATACATACATGCTACTTAATGTATATGTATATTGTGTTTGTATGATTAACGGTATAAATACATACCATGCAGTGCACTCATATGATTGGAGGTATACAAACATATTATATAGTGTTCTCGTATGGTACACTTGTATGGAGCGAATGCATTTGCACTATATGATCAAGAGACGTGTAGGAGATATTTCTTTTTGGTTATTTGGCACATCTCACACACTTGAATAAGAAAGTCATACATCCATGACTTGCAATAGTTCATGAGATGTACGACACATGCACTAGAATATGAATCCCCTTACTTTAGGCAGCTGACATGTACGTTATGAGGGTACTTGCACGCCCATGACAAGCAATATGATTAATGCTCTTAATTCGTTATGGAGCATTTAATTGAGATGATTATCACATATATGTCAAAGACATCTCATATAGCGATTATTAATATAAATGAATTTTCGTATGAACGTAAATAATTTTCACTTTTACCATTTTCTTAGGATTATTATTATTCGTATTTAGGTGTATTTATACCCATATTTTACTCGCTTGAGAATACTCT